GAAAATGTTCATTGAAAAGCTGATTGCCCCCCCCCCCATTCCTTACGACAGTAAAGTGATATGAGGGAAATGCTGTATGCCAAAAAAAAAATAGTACTGACAGAAGTTGGCATTGAAAAAAGTTGGTCTTATCACCCCCAACCCCAACCCCCACGAAATAGGATTTTCGACTTTGGGCAATATTCCCTTTTTTTTATTTGCTTGCCACCTTTTTTAGCTAAGTAATTCTTTTTTTCTGGCTGGCCCCCAACTTCCAAAAACGATGCTACATCACTGATCAAGCACGACTAAGCTAATCTGAGACCTATACGAAAGATTTCTAAGAAAGCTATTTCAGTAAGGCTGTACAGCTGTCCATCTGTCTGTCTAAATATGTTTTAATTATCTCTCCGACTATAGTACTTAGAAGCCATTCACATTTCTACTTTTCCTCCAGAATTGAAGTCTTTTGGTTCAGTAGGAGGAATTTATTTTAAATGTATATAAAGGGTCATGTTAGGGCAACTAACTTTTACAAAATCAGATTTTATCAAAACTATAAAGATATAAAAGAGATTACATTTCCTTTGAAGGTTATACTGTAACTGAAAAAGTGAAAGAAAATGCAAGAAAAAGTAAGAGGACACATAAAACATTCGAGAACATGGGAGGGGCAGTAACTCTGTACTGGTAGATAAGACGGTCTTAAACACGGAGGTTTATTTTGTAGTTTTCTATAAAGGGAGAATAATCTGATCAGAATGTCAGTTATTCACAGCGTGAGGATGATGCGTGTCCATAAATCAAGTAAAATCATATAAGTTATAACATGTGATAGCGAGTTTTATGTCACAACAAGAAAAAAAAAAGTTATTAATAAATTTCAATTTCTTTTATTATATTGTATCATATTAGATGTCATTATCTTCATCTTTACTCGTCATATTTTAAAAAAAAATTGCATTATTATACTTCTAAACAAAGAAACATGTCTTACAAGTACATGTAGACAAATACATGTTTCATATCTGTTTTAATCCAATGAAATACTCGCCATCAGAAAGAAATAAATGACAACAAAATAATCAATGTTACTTATTTCAACTGGAACGGAACTTTAAAAATCTGATATAGCGATAGACAATTTCATTATACAAAAATTAGATTGGATAATTTCAATCACCCACCTTCCTCTTCCATTGATGCATAAAAAGGGAGATAACTAGGAAATACAGTGACTAAGAACCGACATTGTACAGACGGATAAGTAAATTCCGACTTGACTCAACCATCAGTTTCTCACAAAATAAGAGGCGAATTGACATATATTAGGGTAAACCTTTGATAACAACGCATTTTGTGGAGACAAAATCAAATATGCGGTATATTATAAGTATACTTCATATCAAATGAAACTGTTTTTATACAAAAACCAAATGCAATATCTTTATATTGAAAAACTTTTTTTTTTTAAATATTAAAACGAAGTTATGACAATTTTTATACTGTTACGTAGAAACTAAGAGGATGAGATTGCGGCTCATTACTTTTACAGAATATACAGAATTAATATACTGGCTAAGTAAATGTACATGTACGTGTATATTTTTTTTCACCTTTTAGCCTGTACATAATTGTAGATTAATAAGTATATTGTTGTAACTATTTTTGACAGGGATCCATTGTAGACGAGCCTGGGACACAGTGATGTGTTGGCCCCCCACCCCCGCTGGTCATCTAGCGATCCCAGCCCTGCCCCAGTCACATTAAGAACATCGACACCAGCAGTAAGTCATGTACTTGTATACCGCGTGGCTCAGTGGTTAGAGTTTTTGCTTGAAGTCTGAGAAGTAGGAGTTGATCCTTACGTCTTGAGTTCGAATCAAACTGGCAGCAGTGAATAACGTATACGTATACAGAAAGTGTTCCATTGGTGCCCATCATTCCTCGGTACTCCTAGTATAAAAAAATGCTGGATATGTTCCAAAATAAATATAATTAATTCTAATAATTAAAATAGTTATACCTTAATACCTATTATAATAACTAATATTAATTAAAATGCTTAAAATTTTAGGATACTTCGCAATGCAAGATTTTAGAGCAAATTTTATATGGCATTAAAATTTCATTTTTAAAAAATTATTTTTATTAATATAACCACAGATAATGCTTCAAGACAATGTAATGAGGATGGTTCTTGGTTTGTTAATCCACTCAACAACAATACATGGACCAACTTTACCCAATGCATCGGGTCAAAAACCAATGAGGACCCTCGTACAGTTCCGGCCTGATCGAGGTAAGTATAGGAATTATGCGACAGACGTAAAGAAGACTAAATTTTGTTTATTTCATAGAAGACAAGTAACTTGTGCTTCTTAAAATATATAGCTTGAGATATACTTTTCATCTAGAGTGAACATCACCTCAAGAGTAGAGTAAATTGAATAGTTAACTTCTGAATCTCAGAAGAAATCCTTTATTAATAGCCATTCTCTGTAATCATTTAAACTCTTATATAGGGAGTGTGGCACGCATGGTCTTGGATTTTTATGAAACTTGGCACACATTGTTATATTCATGCATGAAACAAAAATTCATAATAAAATGGTTGCTATGGGCAATGGTTACCATGGCAACCAGCATACATTTTTTAGAGCCCTAAAACAGTCATTTTTCATGAAAAATTCCAATCTTGAGACCCCTAGAAAACCTGTATATGATCTAGAAAATATAATAACTCAATTTTTATATCAAAATATATCATATTTATTATACATATGATTATTTGCAGCGTTTGAATAATTTTTCATCATAGTAAAAAATAACCAGATTTTGGGGTTGTTTTTTAAAGGCAAAAATAACTGTTTTAATGCACTTTTGATAAGCTTGGTAAAAAATTTTGCGGACATGCAGGTAAAAATGAATAGCATGGTGTTAAAGTACATAGTCTGTTCTACTATCAACTGCATTGACTCATTTGGTTTTCATATCTTGTTTTCATGTTACCATGGTTACAAAGTAATGAATTTTCATGTATCACAAAAAATGACAAAAGGCATTACCTATCGGTTTCCCTCTAATAATATAAAAATTTTACAATGGATTGAGACCAAATCTTGATAATTGGTACACAATATCTGAAGCTAATGTTTAAAAAAAATTCAGGTGAAAAGGTCAAAGGTCAAGGACAAAAAAAAGTAGAAATAGACTGAAATCTAGAAAATTAGGTGTTTTTATACTATTACATATTGAAGGATTCTTCTCACATTTTCTGTATTTAAAAATGAATGAAATTTTCATAGAATGAAGAAGACAATATCACTAAGTGATGGTATCAGTCAGATTAAATAAAACTGTTTTATATAAGAAGTAATATCAGGTCAAGGTCATAACCTTTTCCCCGGACATTAAGAACAAAACAATTCTGTTGCCAATCATGGGATCCCTACTTGTATTTTAAAACATTGAATTTTTTTATTTATGCATAAAAAGAAACTACCATACAGGGCCTATAAGATAATATTACCAAATTGAAATAAATTATTTAAATAAAATGGATATTGGGTAATCCGAATTTCCTCTGCTTTTCTTAAATTTCTAAGGATACATTAGTTATTTTTATATGTTTCCTATATTTATTTTTTTCTTTTTCTCACATTCACTGAAGTTGTCACAAAAAGATGTAAAATGATACATAAACAGAAGGTTTTGATAGTGAAAATATCAATTTAAGAGAGAAAAATTGTAATTAATACTTTTCATAAATTTTTAGCTCAAATCTTAACTTTACACGAAAAAAGCTGACACTGTTATAGTTTGTTTGAAAATAAAAACTATGAAATAATTTGTTAAGAATACTTTAAGGGAATTTACAATGTACATTTTTTTTCTCTGCAAGTATGTATTATGAGTAAGAATATATTGAATGAAGTATAAAATACAAAAATTACATTAAAATCATCAAATCTTAGAATCAAGGTTGATGTGATTTTCTTGCACCTAAACTGTTCAAGAAAATTGTAATTTTTTGACGGGCGTATCATGCTGTGGCGGGGCACTTTATTGACTAATATAGCTACTTCCAAAATGAATGTGCTCCTAAAAATGTAATTTTAACATCATCTCCATCAATTATTACTCTAGTCTCTTAGACACCTATGCAATACAGACTTGCATAAAATTTTGATATCAAAGTGAAAACATGAAATTCAGATTTTTTTGAACAACTAATAGTTCTATATGTACATATAGTAAATGTCAACTTAAAAGGACACAAATAATTGCAGGGACTTACAAGTGTAGTCATGATAAGGAATTGAATCAATGAACACTAATTCTTGTGCTTAACACTGATATATGCAAGACAATGCATGATATCAAAGAATGCATATGGGTACAGTCCACTAATTGTTTTCCTATAGGCTACAATGTTAACATTACTTCTCATAGCTATGTCCCTATGATTTCTCGTTCAGAAGTGAGTAACCCCTCAAATCAAAGCACATCAACTTGTCTTTCCTTGGTTAAAATGTCGAAGTAGCATGTCAGATTCATTTTTCAGCAAAATGTGTCTGTCTGTGGAAACCTCTAAAAATGAATGTAGGGGAATCTCAGAGATCTCACTAGCGTTATAATACACAAAATAATTCAACTGATCTTCTTGATAAATTACATTTGTCAAGCTTTTTTGGTAGGAAAGATACTCCTTATCAACATGAGTGAGGCTCAGTTCAGTACATCTGTCAGTACATAAATTTATTTTTTATGCAAGTCTGCAAATTAAGGAACTTGTAATTTTTTCTGCACTATACTTTCTTTTCCTATCGATTCTAAAAATAATAAGTGGGTGTACCCATATGACAGAGAGTGACAAATAAAGGTATATTGATCACTTGTTATTTCAAAACTTGTTGTATTTTGCATTTCAGTAAATCTTGATTTTCCTCACAAACTGCAGCCCAGTAGTCTTCTTTAGATGTTTTTTTGTCAAGCTGAACGAGCCTTGAAAAATAGGATGAAATCTGTTGGCCAGAGAGGAAGTCTGCCCTTTTGAACTTTCCGGACAATCTCATTTCTTCGGCAGCACAAAAAGGATCAACTTTGTTTCCAGTAGTTTTCCATATGTTAAACTTCTCCTTCATGAATTCTTTCTGCTGATTGGTGAAAACAACTCTGCCTTTTGTTTCTTTTAATGCCCAACCTGACGGTAATGACGGTAACCTGACTTTTATATCCTTAACACTGGTAACAGGAAGGAGCCCTGGTTCTTTGTTTGTCGGATACATTTTCATAATCTTCTCTGCGTAAATATATTTTGCCTTTTCTGTTACACATAGCCTCTCTTTTGTAGCAAATGAGCAGGTGCCCATTAATACATGATCATCAACTGCTCTTTGTGTTGAGAACTGTTTTGTGCAGTTTTCCACAGGACAATGAAAACCTGTTATGTGCTCTAAAGACTCAGCTTCTTCATCTGGAAACAAAAAATAGATGTAATGTAACAAACTTAAATCTACACTACCTGAGGGTGCTGCCATATAAATATGATTAATTATGGCTTTGTTGTTCTTGAGAAGAAGATTTTTAAAGAATATTCCTATATATTTCTATGTAATACTTTGTCAGCCATAGTGGGCCCGCCCTACCCACAGGAGTCATGATTTGAACAAATTCGAATCTGACGCTACCTGGGAATGTTTCATTCCCCTTAAATTTCATCTTTCCTGGTACAGTGGTTCTTGAGAAGAAGATTTTTAAAACATGCCACCAAATTTTCATTAATTCCCAAATTATCTCCCCTTGAATGAAGGCGTGGCCCTTCATTTGACCAAACTTGAATCCCCTTTACCTAAGGATGCTTTGTTGCAAGTGTGGTTGAAATTGGCCCAGCGGTTCTTGAGAAGTCGAAAATGCAAAAAATTTACAGACAGACAGCTAGACGGACACCGGACAAAATGTGATAAGAAAAGCTCACTTGAGCCTTCTGCTCAGGTGAGAGAAAAAGTTATAAATATTATTCCTGAATTTTACTTTACAAATATCTACTAGCTATGAAATCATTATAATTTCATGAGGGGTGGGGCAACACTTTAGTGGTTTGTTGGGTTATTGTTATTTCATTGGAAAACTAATGATTAATTGAACCAATATATTTCTGAGAATGTACTTTCATGGGTAAGGATGTCCAATAAAATCTGTGAATTAATATATTGTTCCATAACAGTGAATATTAGTCCTTAAAAATGATGATTACAAAGTATATGTCAAACTTGTCCATGAGAATAATTTTACTAACAATTTACATGAATATATTAATTGGTAATGTGTTTAATTCTACCTTGTTTTATTTCTGTGATCAAAACCCTTGACTCAGCATGTCCCCAGTCTATTAAAGTTTTCAGTTCAACTGTTGGAGATGGGCAGCCTAGTGATCTCCATTTCATCAGTTTACCTTTAAACAGATGCAAATTGATTTTATTTAAAACCATGCATGATCAACTATTTTATACATCATAAAAGCTTAATTAATTCAGTTCCAGAAAAGCACTTATGTTTATGTGTCATAATACCTTCACCAATAGCATATGCTTTCCACATCCTTAATCCATCTTGTGAATAAAGGAAATTGTACAGTTTAGAAATTCCTGGGATTGAGTATCTCGGTTCAAGTTCATGCTGATCATCATCAACAATATTCACTGATGAAACAACTTTCAGTTTCAAATCTGGTTTCTGTTCATTGTCCACTGCCTGTAACAAAAAATACTATCTGATGTATCTTGAGGCATGTTGTGCAAAATAAGAATTTGGAGATTTTGAAATAAATTATATAATTTTTACACTCTAGCTAGTGTATAATTGTATGATATCAAATTGAAACTGATACAGCAAAACTTGTTTAGTATGAACATGGATATTGCAAATTATACAGATATTATACACTATATATGGCATGCCTAAAAGAGATGATTATGTCTTAAAATTTCAAGCATCTACTATGAGTAGTTGCTGAGAAAACTGCACAAAAATTTGTTACCGACGGACATGGACACACAGACACACGGACACACAGACAGACAAACAAGGGTAAAACAGTATATCCCCTTCTTCTTCAGAAAGAGGGTATAAAAAAATACACTGTTGACAAAACCATGTATTCATTGTACATACCTTTTTCATATGGAAAGCTGATGTTACATCATTTCCTTCATTGATGTATCGTCTTATAATGGACTTGATGTGGGATGCACGCCTATCGCAGGGACCTGCAATGCAATCAATTTCATGAATATAAAGAATTCAAAACATTTTATCGTCATTTTGGTTCATTAATTTTATTGCATAGGTACTAATTTGTATGGAAAAATCAAAACCCAGCATAGACATATAGTTATTTCCTTTTCTTAACATGATAGTATCATATTTAATTTAATGTATGCAGATAACTTACACTTGCAATACATTCAGAATGATTCAAAAGCCCCAAAAAAGTCAAGCTTCATAAATCAATTTAAATACAGATTTTCTAGTAATTTACCTTTCCCATTCTGTGCCTCACAAAAATTAAAAGAGGACACAGTATTCTTGAGTTCTTTTTGTAACGTCAGGATTGTGGTGGATGACTTGTAGCATCCAGCATTGTCTGTGAAAAAGTTAATGTTTTTCACTGCTGGTTTCTCCTTCAAAATGTCTCTCGCAACATCTGTTAAAATCTGTGACGTGATAGGTGCATCCTGAGATATAGGGCAATCAAAAATGTGGACATGTGTTAACGTAGAAAAATTTTGTCCATCCTTTAATAGTGTCACAGCAATATGCCAGTTCATCCCCCTTTTGGCAAACCAGTCCACTTGACCTATAAATATATTTGTACATAATTTTTTTTATTTTTACTTTTAAAGTGGTAAAAACAATAAAGAGTTGCAGTAAATCCTTAAAACACACCAAAACATATGCTTAATGTTGAGTGTCAACTGTACAAATTACATCATACTGCAATGAGTACTTTGTACTTTTAGAAGATCAAATGATTTTGTATCATTCTCCATATACTGGATCAGGTTACATTGCTAGAATTGATGTTTTAGATACAATATCATAGTTATAAGAATAATTATCTAAAAATTATACAGATTCAATAGCAAGAATTAATCTTGCATTTTATTTATTTTCAATTTATTGCTTGATATATTAATTGTACTAAATGTCAACATTATAGACATACCCTCTCTATATTTCTTGGGAAAGAACTTTATGGCCCAGTCACACGTAATAATAGCATCATCTTCAGACATCTGTTGCACAATATCTGACCTGCAGCTTCTTGGTTTCTACATCTTAGGATATGGCACTTCCATTTCTTTATGGCTTCAACAGCTTCTTCTACCTAGACGAACAAGGAGAATTTTAAGATAAAAAAGTTCAATTTTTCTTTCTTTTGTTACTTGAACTGTGACAGATCACTATATCCTCATAGAGATTTAAGTAATAAAATGTAATGTACAATAATGCATAACTATAGGTCCAAGCAATGTAAAACATCCATCAAAACCACCCACTCCTCTTATTTCTTCAGTTCAACATTGCTTAAAACAATTCTCAGGCAGAAGATGACTTGGATGATACCAAACAGCTTTCACATGACCAAAAAGATCTTGAAATAATGTTTTCTTTACTGAAAATGAGCCATTGCTTGCCCTAAATAATTTCTTAACAAAATGTATTAATCTATGCATAAATTTTATTAATACCATATAATGGCTTGATTCCATTCAATGCTTTACTAACAAGCTGAGCTAAGAGAGATGTTTTGTTCCTTTAAGTGAGTACATGTACTTAGAGTAGTTTACAACACAAAGCCACTTTTCCTAGATCATTTGTAAAAAAAAATCTAACCGTATACATTGCTGCTTCCTGGTTCTGCCACTGATGCTCCTCAGCCTTCTGCTGAATTGAACTGAGAACTATATCCAGGTTTTGGCAGTCAGTACATGTGTCCCCATGCTGATGCTCACATTCAGCTGCGAAGAAAGGCTCGGAAGAACTAAGGGCATAGGATATGCAATGGTCTTCTACCATATTTTCCTTGGTAATATGACCCTGAAATAACATTTATTTGAACTTATATTTGTAAAAATGGAATAATGAATTATAGAAATACATTTATACTATTTAACTCATATGTATTTAATGTCCATTAATACATTGTATGTTAATAGTATTCATATGGCATCTAAATCTTTGCATAGAATTATAGTGTACATTGTTTCCATGTTGGACTTTCAGACACTTTACTATATTGCATAGGGACTCTTCTAGTCTCTGACCAGTAAAGCTAACATACCTTAAATCCTGATTTCAAATAATTTTTAGCACTTTGCAATCCAGCTGTAAGAGGTTTCTCATCTTCTGTTGACAGCTCAAGTCTTTTCACTATCTTGTCCAGCTCCTCAAAGGCTTTAATCCCCTCCATTAAAAAATTGTCTAATCCCTCAATGCTTTTCCTGAACACAGCTGAGCATTCTTCCAAAATCTTGAAAAGAGTGCTATTTCCTACAAGTATAATTAAAACATAATGTCATTTGAAATTTCTTTTAGTTCTTATATTCAAAAATTATTGCAAAAATAAAAAAAGATAAAAATTATAATAATTTTTTTTAAATCCAATATCTGGTATTTAAGTTTATATTATGTAATAACATGTCTCAGATATTGACAGTCAATATATAATATTGGTTACAATTCCCAAATTTTATAGCACTCAGTAGCAATACGTTTTTAGCTATTTAAATTGATATACCAAGAGGCTTTATGTTATCCTCCTTGCACACATCCATGTATTGAGAGATAATGGTGGAAGGAGCCAAACATCTAATAACAGTTGGAATGTTAAGAACCTCTCCTGTTTCCATTTTCAACATTTTTTCTCCAAAAGGCTGATCTTTAATTATGTCTCCAGATGTGATAAAGTCAATGAAGTGGTCTAACTGGCTATGGGTATACTTTTCCCCTAGGAACTTTCCTGTTTGAGATTGGTTCTCCTACACCATGCTCTTGAATATGTTCTTTTGCATGATTGAATTTATATCTTGTCACAGTAGGCAGAAGCTGTAAAAGAAGCACAATATATATATTTTTTATAATTTTTTTTTTGGACTATAAATAAGATAATAACAGCAATTACAGTGTAACATACTACATGTACAAGTTGTTATGAAAAAGCAATTACACATTTTATTATCAAATCTTTTAAATGTGTATCTACCATACTGCCTACAATAATGCATGTATTTTCTGATTGCATACCTCTTTGACAGCTGAAAAGTCCTTGTCTTTTACAATTGTTGAGAGAATTTGTCGTTGGAATGCCCAAGAATTGGCACCATTATAAATTTCGACAAGTGTCTCAAGAATGGCGTTTTCCTCCTCTGCAGAAGTTAGCTGAATATCATTCAAAACAGATCTTCTCAAGAATTCCTCTTCCCCAGGACAAATTGTGGTCAGGATAAGGTCAAGACACTGCTTAGCCTTATTGATGTACCTCTGTTTAGTTCTATTGCTTGAATGTTGCAGGTAGACCTGACATTCCTTTATCGGGCTAACGTTACTGAGGGCCAGGTAGTGATTCAGAGCCTCAAGTTTTGATGAATTAGATACTGAAGCCTCAGAGACAACTGTCTCCTGACTGAGATCTTCAGAATCAAATTCTTCACATCCATCTGAGGATTGTACAGTGCAAGAAGATACCTGCAAGACAAATTACTAAAATAAATATAACAAGAAGTCTCCTTATAGCTGGAAGCTCCATGGCTTGTACAGTTTTAGGTGACTTATAGTGTTGGGAATGAGTTATACTGTAAATGTATTATATTCGGTGTGACCGCAATATTTGGTGGAAATTTAGGTTTCCATAAGTAAGCATAAATTTGATTTAGCCCTTTCTAAATATACCGAATATAAATGTATGATTTACATATGTAAGTGACATTTACCAATGTACTTGAATTTGCTAACTCGGCTTTCCACCTAAACTGCCTAATAGAATACATCGCTAAATGTAATACTGTTACAGTAAATGGCATATATGTCATGTTGTAATAAACACTTCAAATTTAAAATCAATAGCTCTTCTTATTCAAAGGTTATCACTAATATCAACATTTTTTGTAAATTAGATTAAACTTTAAGAGCAAGTCATGGGTATAAAAATCATATCATGTTTGTCACAGCTTAGTTATGATGCCTCATCTTTTTCCCCTAAAAATTATCAACAATGATCATTTTTTAAATAGGTTCAACTTTGAAAGACAAGGTCACTGGGTCAAATATCATAACATGGTTGGAAACCTTGTCTCATAGGTAATGCACGTAATTGTAGTTGAAGCCAAAAGAAGATTTCTCAAGATTTCTTCCTATATGTCTCTCATATTATATTAAACTTTTTATTTCTTATTCAGGCCCAACCATATCTCCAAGTGACCCTAATCTGTACATTTAATAATTAATATTGTAAGGAAACTTTTATGCGAGTTACCAATATTTGGCAAATGGATTTTAAAAAAAATAATATTTTAATAAAAGCCATAAAAGAATTGCAGATGAAAGTATTCATCTATACCTTAAAGTCAATTTTTAGAAAATGACATATTTGAATGATTTTTTAAAATTCTAATAAAGTTGTATTGGCCAATAAATATAAATGTTGAAATCCTTTCTTTTCACTATTTCCCTATTATCCCCCTTTGCATGAAGGTGTGCAAGTGCACAACACATGACTGATACCAGTCATTGTTGTATTCACCTTGTTTGAGCTTTCTGCACACGTTAATATTTACAACTCCAAGAATATTTCAATAAATGACAGCAATGCACTGCTCCTTTTTGAAGTAGAGGTAACAAGAAAGGAGAAAATGTTTGGCTGGACCGGGATTCGAACCCAGGACCCCAGGCCCTGCATCTCCAGTCAGTGCTCTACCAACTGAACTATCCAGGCCGATATCCATGTCCCAAACCATTACATACCAATACATATAAATATATTTTTTTAAAAATTAAACTTGTACCTTTGTCACTGATTGCCTTGATCTTTTCAGAGGTGTATGGTCATCATTTATCATATCACTTTCATCTTTTGTGATGGGCATCTGTTATGAAATGTAATTCTTCATTTAAATCATTTTCTCCTAGAAATGTTCATAAAAATTGCCACTCAGGCTCAACTGTCACAATTGTGATTTCTTGATAGGCTTTGACTTTCAATTTATTCTTTTGTGTCAAAGGAAGTCAACTTAGTTTTTGTCTAAACAAGAGGCCCAAGGCCCACATGGCTCAGCTGAGATACTTTGGTGATACAGTTCTTTACCAGATTTCCACTCTTCTTTTATCTACTGTGGCCCCACAATTTAGAATCTGCATATTTTTTAAACTGTAATTTCTTAATTTTGTAAATTTTTATCAATTAAGTGAAGAAAGTTGCTTTTTAAACAGTATATACTATGTATGTAAATTTCTATGATGCATGAAGTAAACCCCTTTGTCAGTCCCCTTAAAAAAAGAAAACTAAAAATTAAATACAATTTCTGATTCTTTTTATCATAATTTTCTCTTTTATAAATCTGTACCTTTCTTGATTTCCGAGCTCTTTCCATAGGCTTACACATGTAGTCATCATTCATGTCAACTTGAAGTTGAACACCATTCTCATTAGACTCAGTTTTACAGAGTACCTGTCCAAATAAGAGTTTTCATCATAAACATGTATGTATATTCAGTATATCTCTTATATACTAGTACATTTTTATTAACTGCTCTCTTTGTGTATAAATCTGATGTTACAAGTCCTTTGAATTTTGTTGAATTTTTCTATTTGATTAAATCAAGTCGTCTAAGCAAAGTATTAATTTATCTTATATTGCACTAATGTCTGCGATATCTAGTTTTAGCGACATAATGTTTACACATTATTTTATGTGCGACATGTAGGAATTCAACTTGGATACTTCAAAACGTATAAATCGTCTAAAACATAGTAGAAAAGTAGCATTCATCAGAGATGGTTGTCAGAATGTAATCGCCAAACCCTGAAGTAATTGTATTTGGCAAAATTTTTATATCATGATATCGCGTTCTAAAACAACAACACGAGGCGGTTATACGTTTCCGTAAAAAACTGACTTGTGGATGTTTTTTTTCGTAATTTCCCGAACATGACAATTGCATGAGGCACACGATGGGTATGACCGGTTGGCAGGGGATGCTCATTCCTTATCCCACCTCTGATGCTTTGCTTCTTTTTTTGTAATTCTTAAACAGACTTTTGAGTGTGAATACCGTTCTATATCCACATAATTCATTTATGGTGATTGTTTATGTGTAGAAAACGAGAGTTTCTTTTTTCTTTTCTTGGCTTGAGAGATGACAAAGATCAAACACAGTTCAGCAAGTCGTTTAACTTTTCCTTCTGTTTCAACTTTTTGATTAACATTATGCTACATTTTTGAATTTGTTTCTTTTTAAAATCTTTTTTGTTCCTCTAAGCGTAGTACCTAATGTTTTTTTTTTTATATATTTTCTCTCTCGTTTTTCATCGTTATGTAACTAACCTGGAACATCCAGAATAAAAGTACACTTATCCAATGTCATATCCTTGAGTTATGAAAAACTAAATGTTCCAATTTTATGGAACGCCGTCACTGTCTTATAGCAGAATACTACTATTGCATTGTGTCAACCTTCCATTACATTATGTCAACTCTTTATGACATTAACCCACACTACTATTGCATTGTGTCAACCTTCCATTACATTATGTCAACTCTTTATGACATTAACCCACACTACTATTGCATTGTGTCAACCTTCCATTACATTATGTCAACTCTTTATGACATTAACCCACACTACTATTGCATCAGGTTAACTTTCCTTTACATTATGTCAACTCTTTATGTCACTTAAACATACTACAATTTTATTTCGTCAACTTGCATTTCGTTATGTTTACTTTTCATGAGATCTTTGTTTTTATTAACTGATGTGAAAAGCTCATGCCATACTGTGCGCACCCTTCTATATTATGTCGATTCACTATTACGTTATGCGAACACGGGTATCCTCGGCCTTTATATGAGCATAACGTATTTTCCGCGTTCCGCAAGCACTAAAAATGGCGGGAGAGAAAACTGTCGTAGAAAAGATTCTCAGCGATTTGGGAATGACATCTTTAAATGAAAACTTTAAGCGACAAATGATTGACAATCTTGAAACGTGCAAAGCCTTAACACTGCGACTGTGAATTAAAGTCACGTCGAAATTCAATGGTGTTTACTTTAATCTCATAATTAAATAAATCAAATATTATGAGTCGTGCAGCAATCATTTTTTTTTCTTTTTATTTTGAATTTTTTTTTTATAAAAGTCTTAAACTTAAAAAGGACATTGCATTAGTTTCACAATAAGCTTAGCTGAATTAAGTTGAAAACCTTTTTTTTCACAATAAGCTAATAAAACTATAAAGCCTGAGAGCTTCTCCGATTTCCGCCCTTGGTCTCCAACCATATACCGTCCCCCTTCCTTGTTCAAGATTCCAATATCTGCCACTGATATGTGCCCATGCATGCTTACTAAGGCATATTCAATTGATTTAGATGAGCGACTGGTAGATTTTTGTAATAGAATTCTGGCCCTGGAATGATTAAAAAAAATTACTAACTTCAGTGACGTAGCATCTTTTTTTGAAAGAGGAGGTCAGCCAGAAAAAAAATCATTTACCCGAAAAAAGTTGACAAGTCAAGAAAAAAAAGTCCAAGCCCGAAAATCCTATTTCGGGGAGAGGGGTCCAACTGCGATCAGTCCTATTTTTTTCCAGATATATTACATTACCCTTAGTGGATTATACTTCAACAAAAAGTGGGGGGGGGGGGCTGTACAGTTTCAATGAACATTACATTTTCTATAGTAAAGTTATGTCTGGGAAAAGAGGGAAGTTGATATTATGTGCCTGTAATTTGTCCTAATTAATCAGGACCCCCCCCTTCTTACCAGTCATTAAAACACAGTCGTCAACATTCATTATATACTATATATACAGCTTTGAGATAATGTAAATGTTTTTCAACATCAGGTAATGAACTTTTTGAATCAACATGATAAAGAGTTAACACAATATAAAGATATTTTTAAATCACATAAGAAAGAGTTGACATGACGTAATTATATATCCACATCACGGAATGGAGTTTTGACATAATGTTATATAGTATTGATGTAATATAAAGATATGTTCACATTATGTTATACACTTTTTACACCACGTAATAAAGCACTGACATAAAGGTACGATGTGTTCACCTCACATCATGATGCCCTCGTCGTAAAATAAAGATAAATCCATATCACGTAATAATGCTTTGATATAATAAAAATATACACTTTCAGAAAGGAATGGGCTTTTGACTTCATGTAATGATAAGTTTAATTATAAAACACAATTTACTTGCCGTAATGCAATTTTGACCTCACATAATAAAGAAATGAAATGATGTAAAGAAAAATTCATTTCATGCAATAAAGTTTTAACACAATGTAAACACATTATCACTTCACATCATGAATTTTTTACTTCAAGTTAAGAAGTGCTGACATAATGAAAGGATGTATTTACTTCATGTAATGCAGCATTGACATGATGTTAAGATATATTAACATCATCTCATGAAAAATGGACATAACATAAAGATATGTTCACATCACGTAATGATAAATTGACATAATAAATGCATAGTTGTATTCTATAAGGCAGTGATGGCGTTCCATACAATTTTATTTATTTCATTTTAAGTGGAGGTAAATGGGGAAATTTTCTTTTGTACCAGACGCCCTACGTACACATTTTAACAAGTTTGAAAGTTTGTACAAAATGAGATATTCAATTCTTTTTAAAGTGCAAGAGATTCTTTCTATTGTAAATACCTGTAATAGTTTCTACGGCTGTAAGGAAATCAGTACAGATAGATGGCTTTGAGTTCAGATGACCTAGACACAATTAGAAACATAAACATATCCATATTTTGAATTTTAAAGTGATTCTTAAGGCACAAGAATTTTTACGGGAGAAAATGGATTATTAAAAAGAGACTTGATATCTGAATTCGGATGCACTTGCATCTTGGCGAGGCAAAACCGAGACCGTGAAATTGGTCCTTGAAATTCATTATTGAGAAAATAAAGTCACAATGGCGTTGAAAGGCGTATTTATGTATCTAAGTAGGATAACTTCATCTTATTTCAAGAAAAAAATATACAAATGTTTTTGTAAATTACGCTATAGGATTTTATTAGATTAAATATTAAATTCTAGATCACTACTTGAGTAAGATCTCATGTAAGAAAATATACGAGAAAATTCAAGGCAAAAATCTACGATATGTTGACCTACATGTGATATTCCAAATAAACATTAAGCTTGTTTTTTTTTTTTTTAGAATTTCTAAATTTATCTTAAATACTTTAATTTTGATAAATTAGTTTAAACATTTTTCATCTGAACTCGACTTTCACGTTGGCACATTGAATTTGATATCTTACTGGGAAAAGACAGCTATGACAAACTAAAATACCTCTTTATGACAATAGCGATAACTTTAATTATTCGAACAAATTTTACAACGAAGCAACCTACTGACAAACAGGTTGACAATACAAGACAAATAAGAGCTTTGTTTAAAGTCATAATTCTGAACATTCTATGGTCGATACAACGACTTTTTCAGCAAATACAATCTTGCGTCAAGTCGAAGATTTCATACAAATTGTTAGGCTTATTTCAAAATGAATTGTTGACGTTTTTCCAATTTGCATTTGTACGATCATGACAAGGAGTAGATGACATTTGCGACCGCTCAACAGGGGCAACTGATCTCATCTCTAATATTCAAGAGGTGATTGTCTACTCTGCTCTCAGTCTGTATTGCTCCAGTGGACTTTTGGGTTTGGAATATTAATTTACATTCTCGTTTTTGAAACACTGTATACCATAGTATCAAGTGTTTTGAGTTAGGGTTTACTTTTGTCCACCGCTTTTGCGAAAAGGAAGGGGACATTAAATCTCATTCGTTTGTCCAACTGTCAGTTTGTAGTTCTGCCCTTCCTTCACAAAAACTTTAATCTTGGTCATATTTTTTTGAATGAGAGGAGATAGGGCTTTCATATTACACATGTTTATTAGTTGTGAGAAGCCCATTCTAAATACACTATGATGTTTGACCCCGTAACCTTTAAGTTTGACCTACTTTTAAAATATTTAAACATTAAATTACTTTGAATTGGCCATACCTTTTGAATGAAAAGCTTTCATATTAAACATTTGTATTATCTGTGACAAGTCCTTACTAAATACACTATGGTTTTTAACCTCTTGAGCTTAAAGTTTGACTTACTTTTCAGAAACTTTAACCTTGGTCAAAACTTTTGAATGAGAAGACAGGGCTTTCATATTAAACTGCGTATTGTTTGTGACAAGACCTTTCTAAATACACTATGATTTTCATCTTGTGACCATGACCTTGGTTTGCTTTTTTCGAAAATGTTAATTTTTCCTTATAACTTTTGACTGAGAAGAGATTGGGCGTTCATATCTGGCATGAGCATTACCTGTGACAAGATATTTTCGAGCATGCTATGATTTCTGACCCCTTGACCTTGAGAATCGCGATCGACCTTATTTTCAAAAAAATCTACATGTACTTCGATGATGACTTCTGAATGACATATGAAAGGATGTTCAAATTTGACACAATATGCCACAAAGACACGGAAAGCGGGGGACCACAACTCTTTGAATTTGCTTGTTGCTCTTAGGTCAAGCTCAGAATGCCACAGGTTATGATTCTAACCTTTTATACGAAATACTATGTACTGAAGACTTTTATAACTTCCATAGTATTTTAATAAAAACTGACGTAGAAAAACAACAAAATAAGAAAAGAACTCGCTATTTAATTTTTCATCCAATGTATTCACTGGAAACAAATTGCTGAGTATTTTATTATTTATTTGCGTGAAACAAAAGCATAGTATTAAAACAGCATGGCAATAACCACTCCTTGAGAAAAAGTGTTATTTACAGTCTATGCAAATATGTAGAAGCTTTTCAACTTTATAAGCATTCATTTTTCAACGGGAAAATGTAGGAATATGACATACATGTTCCCTTCTACAGGCATTAACTGTCACACTTTTCATACATCCGGGAGACCTCATAATGAAAACAAAAATCATTATATGTACACCGATCTGCAACTCTGCTGATGTTTTTGTCAAAAACCAAATAAAATTAAGTCTTTTTACAAGTAAAGTCTTCACCGCTTTTCAACATGGATTATTAACACAATTTGAGTAGAGCAATTGTTGATTGGCTCTGTTTCTTCTCCGATTCCTAAGAAAGTCCTTAAAGTGACATTCTCTTTCACAATCTTCATTATCAACTTCACATTCAGGAGTGCACCCGAAATCATACGGTGTTAACTGACATTCATCAAGGCAAACAAATCTCTCCGATGTACATACATACGAACACGCTGACGCAGGAGGGGGAGGATAATCTCGATTCACCACTGGTGTTAAATTAGGAGTTGGCTTTGGTGGTGGTGCCGTTGAATTGGTCCGCAGTTGTGTTTGATTGGTAGCGCTACTTTTAGGAGGTTCTTTCAAAATAGTAACTTTGGCTCTAGCGTTTTGACGACAATCGTCGCAACAGGTTTTATAGGAAAACTTGCATGATTTTGAGCAATCTAGAAAACGTGTTTTATTGAACAGATGAACCGTTTTACAGGAAGTACTGCACTGAATACGATCTTTACGACAGTAATCCTCGCAGACATCCGAGGAGTGTTCGGGTGATCCGTATGTTAAAGTGAAAAACAACCCGAGTATCGTCAACAGGGCACTCTGAAAAAATAATCTTGTTTCGTAAAAAAATAATATTAAACTTAGCATTTATAATTGTATTATATTGAAAATACTTCTTATATTTATTCCATGAATATTATTTTCCATAGTAGTAACACAGAGTTCTTGCAAATAAACTATCTATTATTGTTGTGTTATTTGATTACACAAATATACAGACTACTTATATAAACTTACAAGACTTCTCATGGTCTCCGGTTCTAGTGAAAAGTGTGCGAATTACTTAGGAGCTCCTCTGGTTTTATTCAATGGCCTTGCAGAGTGAAAAATTGCCTTTTCTCAATAAACAAGAAAACGTGTTGGAGATTTCAATTCTAATAATGAACGTGCCACTTTTTGACATAATTACTTTCTCAGTCATTTTGATTCATAGCAAACCATTAAAAAATATTTTTTAGCTGAAGTGCGTATTTTAAATATCTATTTCGTTTTCTTACTCTCTTAGAAAATCACTTATTTTCAACACTGTATTTCATTTTCCTAAGGCACATGAAAACTTTTAAGATATTAAGGTCAGGCGATACGTTTCTAAGATAACTGTTTTGTAAATCTTCGTAATATATACCTGGTATATAAAAACATTTAAAATTATAATTTTGCTTGTTAGTTCTAAACTGGCCCCTTATTGTCTTTAAACTTCTACAATGCTCAAATTTTTGATTTTGGCAATTTAAGGTATTTTCAAAAGGTTTATATAGGCAACACCATCCTCTGGTATCTTGCACAAATGTCTGAAAAGTAGGGTATCTTATTTTTTGTGAGTTAATTTGTAAAAGTACTATAACTTCAATGATAAAATCTTTAGAAAAATTATACATTATTTTGCAAGTTCTTATTGACAGGCATTTTTTATTTTAAAAAATTAGGCCATTATTTTTTTAAAATAAAATCGTCTACAGATTAATTAAAATTCCTTCTCCTATAGATCACCTGATCTCACCTCTGAAATTTTACAAAACTTACTCAAATGTACGAAGCATCCTAGGAGATGATTGTATCTTGTAAGAATGATCTGTCCATAAATAAAACAAACATATATATTTGATATATTTTTCGTAATGAATGAAATGCTAGAACTCTGTTTTGCACGAGAAGAAAATATATATTGTAGGGAGCTAAAAATAAATACTACAAATATGCATATTCTAGGAAAATTTTCATTATATAAAAAAAACTCACTTCTAAATATGTTATGAAGTTATATGCCATTCTGTTCCATGGGCTTTTTCAATCTTTCAGAAATATTATTTATATTTTTAAAAAAAACCATTAAATCTACATTTAAAGTTGAATGGCCTTATCAACTTTGCTATATTAATAATATTCTTTAAGACAAACAAAACGCCAAAATAAAGGACGTTTAAAATGCCTTTTATTTCGCTATTTTATGTACTATAAAAATAGAGTTAAACAAGGTAACTCAATTCCGCGGTACACGCAGTATTCTGCTCAAATGATTGCTTTGAGATTTTCCTCTATGAAGGCCTTGTCAAAATTTTAATGATTACATTACAATATGAAATTGTTGACCATTATTTGCACACTGAGTTGTCCACGGATTTTTCCGGATTTTTCACAAGGAGCACAAGTGGGGCACATACCTCTGATGTTTTGGAGTACCGTGTTTTCAGAACTCCTATTTTGTAATACATAAAGAAATGTTGTACTTTCTTAGCTTTCTCCTCCTCTCCTGGATTTTTACAAAATTTTACAAATTAAATGATGAACAAGGGTGCCTCTTTTAAATTGTGAGTTTTAAGGTCCTTGGAATCAAGGACTCTGATATCAGGACGGTGCCTTGATATTCAGTAAAAGAGAAAAATTCATTTACTTTAAGAAACTTCTTGCTTATTCATAATGAGCAACAGATTTCCCTTTCAAATTCCCGAAATTTATTCATTACATTGTGAAATCGGTTTTTAAAGAAAGATTTTCTATTGAATACACATACCGGTATGTATCAAGCATTTTTTATTGAATATAAAGTGAATCATTCAGTATTTCAAATATTTCTTCGAAACCATTCAAGCTTTGTGTCAGTTTCTGATGAGCAAACAAATTTTCCATTTAGCTGAGGAGTAGATGTATCTAAAACAAACAACTTTAATATATATGGTTCCACCACGTGTGAATGTGCGCGTTTTAAAACCTGTCAAGCAGTGTTAGGTCGAAGGTTAATCTATTTTAAGTGATTTCATAAATTAGCGTAATTATTTTTAAGTCTAGCTTGATTAATGAGAAATGTTCTAGCAGTAGTAACACATGTAAGTGTTATCACGTCTGACGAATTTTACCCATTACCGGTGTACACATTTCCAAATTATAATTATCATCATCTATTACCCTGAGTAAGGTTAGAACAATTTTTTGAGTTTAATGTTTTGACCGAAATATGCAAACACGCTTTATACATGTTTTAAGTGAAGGTGCAATATAATACTCGCATTTCAGAATTCACAAGAACGGGACATACTGCAGATGGGGCGCGATCTGATATTTTTATTTACGATCGATTGTACTAAGTCATAGAAAAAAAAATAAATCTCACTATAAAATAAGAATGATGTTTTTTTTCTTTCTAAATTTTAAAACGAGGAAAAGTAGAAATATGATCAATTTCGTCAATAAAATTTTGTAGATTGACATTTTTAAATTATCTATTTTCTTAATTAATTTATTATAAATACCATGATTACTAATGTCATAAAAGACAAATTGTGTGAACAATTACTAAATTGTGTATACTCTTACTAACTTTTATGCCAGGGTATTCTATTACTAGTACCTAGAAAGTTCTAGAAGATAAAAAAATATATACTAGTAATGTATAGAGACACCTTTTCTAACATTGCCAATAATATCAAAAAGCTTTTTTCTCATTCTATCAAATGCTGTAATATTTAATATTTGTCTTCCCGTCTGTCTACTTCCTTGTAATAAAAATTCCTCTAAATGTTTGTAAAGTAACCAATATATTATAATCGTAAGCTATTTTATGAAGATGTCCAATAAGTTGTGAACGAGTTTCAATTTCGCCTCAAGAAGACCCCAGTGACTTAAATATGGTTTTGATTTTTAAAAGTAAAAGCTTGTCTTTTGAAATCGTACCAAGTTTAAAACTTATTGTTTTTGCATGCAACTAACCAAGTCAGGCACATTTCTTGATTTTTTTTTTCGCTTTTAATATGTGTCTATTAATGTATTTATTATGCAATGTTAAATCTATATGATTTGGGGACATTATAATAATAATAAATAATAGTAATATTAACAAATTTATATGGCGTCTTGTTTAAAAAATACATTACTCTAAGACGCTGGGTGAACATTGTTTCAGTCACTGAAAAGCGTATAATATACAAATATTGAAAAATAAAAGCAATATTATGCATAAAATTAACGGATTTGAAACATACAGTGAATTCATATAGGCAATCCACTCCGTATTAGATAAAATTGACAAAAGGTCTGTGATTTAAAAAGGACAGTCCATCTCCTCTAATTTTATACCCTTATATGGAGTGATGATAAAACATCTAATATACAAATATTGAAAAAAAGAACGTTATGCATTAAATAGATGGACTTGAAACATGCAATGAATTCACTCACTTACTAGATGAAATGGACAAAAGGTCTGTGATGTAAGGGACAGTCATCTTCTCTTTATTTACTTATATGAAGTGATGACCTTGTTAAATGGGAGGTTGGGACATATTCGTGTACACATGATTTCCTCATCATTCTCCTCATCATACAGAGAATTATATCTTAAGTCCCCAATGGCTGCAGGAAGTGTCTTATAACTCCTTCCCATGAAACGCAGGTGACAATTGAGGCTTGGACTGTTAGCTGATTTCAGAGGATCGCCCTGTGTAAAGGAAAGAGTTTATTCTGTTTTGGTTCTTACTGGTATTTCAAACATTGCATGAATTTGAATTTCTGTGAAACTTACTTCAATTTCAAAGTGATGACAACCATTTTCATTTTTCACTGACACAACAAATGAACCACTTTCTGCTTTGCTTTCACTCATTCTTGAAAAACACTACACACTTAGGTTTTATAAACAAATCCATTCAAAAGAGAAGTAGTAGAAATTAAACAATACTTTTACATTTGGAAAATCAAAGTAGAGAGCAAGCAAAAAACAAGTCTATTTATTTCTAATCTTTAGAATAACAAATATTATCATTTTCATATATGCAGTATCTATCAATGTTTTGTAGTTGAATATTCGTGCAGATATTGTTGTCATACCTTACGAGATAGGTATTATCATTCTGGCTCTGTAGGATTTCATTTGCCTTTTCTCTGGACATTTCACCGGCAAACCAACTTCTCGTTGTTTTAAATATCGAAAATACAGAAACATTTTAATTTATTTAAAAAAAAATTATACAATTTTCTTTTTTTTAAGTTTAAAATAACAAAAATTGTGATTAGAGGTAAAATATCCCAAACATTCATTTTCATCAACAACAATATCAATAGAATCTAACGAAAAAACGAAAAATAGTTTAAAATATGAAGTTAAGCAAACTTTTTCGGAAATGAATATTATGTCTCATAATGATATGAAGATAATAATTTCAGACATTGAAAAAATAGATCTCAATTTTAACATTTTAAAGGAATTGAATACAAATGTTTGAGGAAAATTATTGCAAGTAAATAGCAAAAATATTGGCAATATATAAATATTGCATGTAGTTGAGTGTAACATTGAAAATTTACACCGGGGTGAAAATTTTCAATGTTACACTCAACTACATGCAATATTTATTATATTATACTGAAAATTTTATACAAATACATATAACAGTGAACCGTGCGCGCATAAATTCTGCGCAGTCGCTATTTTTGGAATATCACCCGTCGTCAAGCAATGTTGACTGTTGCTACGCAGGAGGATGTGGCTTCATTATTCAGCGGGTAATAGTGTTTTTTATCAAATGTTTCTCGACGAATCGGATTCAAGTAATTTACATGAAAGTATAATATTAAAAAAACATAAATCAATATTGTTACGTAGCTCATATTTGATTGAATGGGCTATATATGATAGTCCTCATTATTAAACTGTGAAAGGGCAATTTATTCCATTGCCTTGAATAATTTCCTTGGAAAATTATCAGTCTTATCAGAGGAACATTTCACCTTTTTTCTGTAATACATCAGAATAACCTTTGATAAGTTTGTCTAGAAAATCATAAATAAAGGAAGTAGACAACAGAAAACTATAAGTCCAGTTTGTCATAAATTTCATACAGATTTCTAAATAAGAAAACAGACACGTACGTATCAGATGTATCCATTGTATCTATTATATACAATCAAAGAAGGTGAATCTAATTTAGAAATTGTAGTACTACATGCATATACGTACCTGACTTTTTGATTTTTCATTCCCTTAGACACAGAGCTTTTGATTATTTCTTGCAGCTTAAAAGAAATAAAGCTCTCTATATTCAAACTATCAAAAAATTACCAAACGTAATCAAAAGTTTTGATTTTTTTAGAGACAAATAAAGGAATTATTATTCAACATTATTTTACAATTGGAAGTGGAACAACAGAATTGGCTGTAACACGCCGAACTGTCTATATTGGAAACAGACTTAAAGTAATTCTATTTTTAAAAAAATTCTGAACACATGGTACGTTAGCTGGAATAGAATGAAAAAGTAAAGCAAACAATAACCAATCTCTAAAAAATCTATAAACAATATAAATCTGTAAAAAGGAAAGGGGGCCTAAAACACGGACCCCTGGAAATTGCTGAGGTACGTGGGATCAGATGACTAGGAGGAGTAAGCATCCCCTGCTAATAATAATAATAATAATAATACCGATTAGTGCGAGCACTAGTCTTCCTCGGGGCCTTCTTTAAAACATTTATACAATGCATATACACAATAAATAGAATTACAATTATGAGACAATAAAAATCAAGTGTATGTAACAAAGTATTAAAACATCGACATTTCAATATATATAGAGAGAAGAACAAAAAATCATATAGAATCATTGCGTTTCATCAGCAGAAAATTTTCAACATTTCTTTTAAATATTGCCAGGGATTGGGACTTCCTGATATTACTTGGTAACTCATTCCGGATAATAACCCCTGAATATTGTAAAGAATTTTTAAATAAGTTCGTTTTATATTTTGGTAATCTAAGTTCTGAATTTGTTTCTGAGCGTAACGTGTATGATCCAGAACTTTGAAATTCAAAAAGATTATGCATATAACCGGGAGACATACCATTAAATATTTTGAACATTAGAATGCTTTTCTGTAAATATAAAAGTTCATAAACAGTTAGCCAACCTAAAGTGTTAAATAAAGGCGTTGAAGGTGTATCAAATTTTTCATTTAAAATAATCCTAGCTGCTCGTTTTTGTAATCTGTAGATTCTATCCATATGTGTTTGAGGACAATTGCCCCAAATGGATAGACAATATAAAATTGATGGTAGAATAAAAGCATTATAAAACAGTTTTCTAGTATGCATTGGAAGAAACCTTTTAATTTTTCGTAAAGTAAATAATTTATATGTAAGAGTTTTGCAAACTGCATCTACATGACAAGTATATTGAAGATTATGATCAATGTGAACACCTAATAATTTTTGCATCTCTACGTTTTCTAGGGGCTGGCCGGAAAGTTGCAGATGAAAATTAACGTTTTCTAATTTAGATTTCTTTTGTTGTGTTCCCATTAACATACATTTTGTTTTATCAGTATTTATAATCATCTGATTTTGTTGACACCATTTTTGTATCTGACAGAGTTCATGATTAAGAGTTGTTTCAATACGTGAAAGATTATTACCATGAAAATGCATTGTAGTGTCATCAGCAAACATATCAATATTACAATGTTCAACACACAATGGTAAATCATTAATATACAATAGAAACAACAAAGGAACTAAAATAGAGCCCTGTGGCACACCTGCTGTGACTGGCAGTGATTCAGATGTGTACGCACCAATTTTAACACTTTGGGTTCGATCATATAAGTATGATTGAAAGCATTTAATTGATATTGGATCGAAGTGATAGCATTTAAGTTTTCTAATGAGCATATCATGATTAACAAGATCAAATGCTTTAGTAAAATCCAGATAGGTAATGCCAATAAAATTCCCTTGATCTATTGCATGCAGCCAGTTATCAGTTAGTTTTGTGAGAGCTGTCTGACACGAATGAAGATCTCGAAATCCAGATTGTGCTTTAATTAATAAATCAAAGTGAGAAGTAAAGATACGTATATTTTCTGCTACATGCTTCTCTAAAACTTTCGATATAGTTGGTAAAATTGAGATTGGGCGATAGTTTCCTGGGTCTGATTTATCTCCCTTTTTAAACAGGGGGGATACTTTTGCGACCTTTAACTGTGAAGGAAAAGATCCCTTGATAATGCTAACGCCATTGAACCATGTGTGTTGATCACGTAAGCCCTTACAAAAGGTATGAAATATGTCAGCTAAAAAACGACACAATAAATGATAGGTTACTAGTATATTTGCTAACGAGTTCATTATGTTGACCTCGTTTTACGAAATGCTGACTTTAAAGAAGTTAATTAAAATTCCTTTGACATCAACTTATCTTTCAGTAGTCGGTATTCAGCATACTCAGAGGAGGCTCTTAAGTATTGCATTATTTGGGAGTGATGAGCGCCATTTATGAATACGTGATAAGCAACGTCTTAAAAGTTATATTCGGCTTTGAAAGAAATTTAAGTATTGCTGATTACATGTATAGATAATTTTTAATTTCTGTGTTTATTTGAAGGGAATTTTAGTCACTATTGTCAACTGATAACTGGTACATGTATATCTATATGTACTATGTCACGAATAAGGAATTGTCGTTAAAAAAACACCCACATACGTAAACAAAATAAAGAAAAATGTCTCAACGACTAATTCAAAACGACATAATAAAGAAATGATAAATATTTTGATCTTTTATTCCGCCTAACTCTAAATCCAGATAATCGTTCATTCGCAGATAACGTTACCTCATTATCTGGGGTTATGTTATATTGAAGCATGTCATTTTGAACATATCGATAAATATTTACATCCACATAATATTATCTCCATTCCTTAAAAATCACGGTCTTTATCAATAAATATTTCCTTTTCTTCTTTCGTTTTTTCTGATAACTCTTTGAAAAATACTTGAGTTCATTTCTTCATATTTCTACCGGATCTATCATTGATACATAGCATACGCTAAACTGCTAACTATACAGTGATTCCTAAATCATCCAAAGAAAGCATTTTCTTACATGTAATTCAAAATCACTAAAATCTTAAACCATTATTTTTTTTTTACATTAAAACTTCTCAAAGAAGAAATGCAAGTATTATTTTCATAAAGATATGCTCAAAATATATTTTCTTTCGACAATTCATACGTGTTGAATGAGAAGACATCTTCCATCACGGTCAGACTTTATGGGACCAAAGAATCTGACGACGGTCAGTAAGTCTGCAAGGTCAACTTCTGCATCATCTGTCAAAAATTAACAATTCTTACTATTGCTTTGATGTTTCTTAGACCTTTCCTCGACCCATACAAATATCTTGCAATTTTACCTATACAAATATATTTCGAGAAATTCAGAGCCAAGCATTGCAAGGTTATCTATTGAAATATTAACTATTCCCTGTTTATTACCTCTGTTGCTGACACCAAGGAGGGTTTTGAATAGGAATATGGTCTGTTTACTTTTAAGTCCATCTTCGTGTGGAAATTCTTCCTTTAATTTTTCAATGAATTTGATCCAAAACTAAAGGAAGTTTAAACTTTTATTTAGAAATCAAGGCTTTGAGGTTAATATATATACGATATATGTACATGTAATAAGTCATGTATATATTGCTATTTAACATAGTTATTCACCGAAAAATAAATCTGTTTTCTCACCTTGGAATGACATTTATTTTGATTTCCACCACGAACAACTTTGTCCCACAAATCGACCGTTTTTCTGGATGAAAATATGCCTCTTAAAAGCTTGCAAGTATCGCCTTTAAAAAAAGAGGAAACAATTTTATACATATTTAAAATATAGTTCTTAAACAGAATAACTTTTTGTTGAAAAAAGACTATTATCAGATTTGTATATGATTATCCAAGATTGAAATCAAAATTTGAATTTGAAACAAAATTTGATTATAGATTAAATGTTTAGCATACTTTAAAAAAAATCGTTTCCAATTAAATTTCTGACTTACAATCTGGCAGTTCTGATGCATGGCTGCTATTTGAACTGCTACTGAAGGACCTTTCAAGACGGGCGGCGTTACTAAGGGCGTCCTGGTCATGAGGAACATTGTCGGCCACGGGGTAGTGGTTGTTATCCAACTCTGTGTTTTCCAGGGATATTTCATAATCGCCAGTTTGATATATTGTTAAGTTATTCATCACTGTTGCTACATTGTCATCTGTCGCATTTTCATCTGTATTGTTTTCTTCTCTTCCGTTGTGTAAGGAGTCTTGCACATTAACCCCTCCATCCATATTTTTGTTTGGAGGAAAGCAATCGTCCTGTTACTTGGTCGATACTTTCTGGTTTCCCGGCTATTTCTACTGGTAGCTCTGTTTTATTATTTTGATTCGGTTTCAGAATGAAACGAAAGTTATACCTGTAGATTTAACAGCGTTATCGAGATCTTTTGTATTCACATCTGTGCTTGCCGACAATTTGTATTTTATCTACAAGTATGAAGGAAAATGCAATGACGTGTATCTATTTATATCAAATTCTGTTGAAACTTAAACAGCTGTTGTCATAAAGATCCATTTTACTTTTTACTATATTATATATATATTTTTTGCATCATCTCGCCGTTAGAATTCGGATATTTGGCATTAAAAATCTGACACATAAAATATTCGTAATGAGCCATTACTGGAGTATATGATTGAAGTACAATTCATTACCGGCCGCCAGGAGGCGGTCGGTTATATGATATGAAAGTTTTAAGTCGCCGTGCGTTTCTGCGGAGTTAGAACAATTTGAATAAAAAATATTTAACATTCATGTAATAGAATATTAAGAAAGAGTGTCTGAATGTAAATTAAAAACGCATAATAATCATCACACTAAAATTTTATGAATAATGGGTTAAATGTTTCATCCAATCCTGATTGACAAATTCCTACGTAACTGAAGTGCGGAGAAATAAGCACACATGTTGGGCATAGTCTAAAGCAAGGACCGCGTTATATGATTGCCTTAACAAATTTTACTTTTTCTACTTCAACAGGATTTGTTGTATATATAATTTAAAATGACGTGTAAATATAAATACACAATGTACTTTTAATATGGAAAATTTTCAAAATCATGACTTAATCTTAATTTATTATCAGACAGAATATTAGGAGATTTTTCTCCAACAGACAAGGATAAAGCGCGTTTTACAACATGCCAAGCCTTTTCCCGCCACATCTCACACCAAAACAAGACAGAGAAGAAATGTAGTGGCGGATCTGGAGGGAGTTGGGGGTTTCAACATCCTCTGAGCGAGCGAGGAGCCCCATATAGTTGTTACGTTTTATTTAATGTTAAACTATCTCTAGTTAGATAAGTTGAAACGTTAGTTTTAATGGTTAAGTGTTAAAACTACTTAAACATCAAACTTCCGCCAGAGTTCGTTAACAGTACCAATTAAACTTACTGGGTGCGGGGACGCAGAGGGCTAAGAGTAAGTTGCTTAAATACATTGTACATGTAGCAATGTACATGTATTATGTACTGAAGAAAATCCTGGGATGTCGCATTCAAATGTTTAATGTCACAGGGATATATTAATAAACAGATAAATATAAGAATTCAGTTTCTAATTTATTATATTATGAAAGAATTAATTAATTGGTATGCGGCCGATTTTTGACGCTTGCGTCAATATGTTTCTTGTATATGTATGATATATATCATATATGTTTTCATGTATAGAGAAAACGAACGATATTTAAATAAATCTAATGAATCATATGGCGATAACGAACAGTATTCAAGATCAAAGATCCATAAAACAATACAAAATAGGAGCAAAGCAAACACAGACCTCCGAAACATCAGAGCGGGATCAGGTGCCATGGAGGAGTGAGCATCCCCTGCCGACCGGTCACACCCGCCGTGTGCTCCTTGTCATGTTCGGGAAATAACGGGAAAATCCGTCCTCAATTCAGTGTATAAATTATGGACTAACAATGAGTATAAAAAACGTCAGTTAGCATTCGACTCAATGATAAATTGTACTTGCTGACAAGGTCATTGTATTGACCATAGAACTTACGAAATGAGGACTTTAAACGAGACAGCTGAAATTCTTGTTTCATCAACTTGTTTGTTAATAATTTACCTCGTTTTAGAAATTGCTCATAGATGCATCATCCATGCAAGTTTGGTTCAGGTAGGGCTTATAGTTACTTGGGAATGAAAATGTAGGTCAGATCCAGCATCCGAAGCAAGTCTGGTAGTGTCCATCCCTAGATGCATCATCCGTGCAAGTTTGGTTTGGGTAGGGCTTATAGTTCCTTGGAAATGGACCTGCACCAAAAACTTTAACCTGGTCACTCATCTGGAAAATATAGGTCAGATCCAGCATCCGAAGCAAGTCTGGTAGTGTCCATCCTTAGATGCATCATCCATACAAGTTTGGTCCAAGTAGGGCTTACATTTCCTTAGGAATGAACCTGCTCCAAAAACTTTAACCTGGTCACTCATCTGGAAAATGTAGGTCAGATCCAGCATCTGAAGCAAGTCTTGTAGTGTTCAACCCTAGATGTATCATCCGTGTAAGTTTGTATCAACATGTGAAGTTTGATAACACCATTTTGAATGGTATGTTTAAAACTGAGCTAAACACTAATTTAAGAAAAGTGGTGAGGTCAAGGTCAAAGGAAAGGTCAAGGTCAAATTTAGGAATTTCATCTCATGTATTAAAATTCAAAAGCTTTAAATTATTTAGAAATTTGAATTATTAAGTGTTACAGACCAACAATAATGACCATTATAGGGTCAAGGTCAAGAGGTCAAATTCGGTGGTACATAAGAACGATCTTGTCAAAAGAATGTGAAACCCACAGTGCCACCCACTCAAAATTTATGACAGGTTAATGTTTCTGCAGACAAACAGACAGATGGACGGATAGGGTAAAAACTTTATACATGTACCCCCTAATCTTTGATTCCAGGGGCATAAAAAAAACAAATAACATATCTCAATAGTAACTAATCTTTAATTGATTGATGTTTTGCAGTATATAATTTACATGCAAAGAAGACATTTTTCTTTTGTATAAATTCACAAAATTACCACATGAAATGAAAAAAAAAAATGGAGATAAAGCTCACATCTTTGGTGCAAAAACTAAGTTCATGACAAATGCAAGGGTTATGACATGAATCAACAATGGTTGATCATCATTCTCATAGACCTATAAATTGAATATGTCTTGAGAACAAATAATTTCCTTTTTTAAGAGAACTCAAAGTTCAAAAGAACTTGACATATATGAGAGAATTATAGACAGGGCAAATATTTAAGATTTATACCTCATGTCGTATTTAAAATGTCAAAACATCAATACAGGGTCAAGTTTGAATTCCATCATTTGGAAAGGTTTCTCAAGATTAAACATTTAAACCTACAGTATGTCCTGAGAATTTTGACTTTAACCTTTGAACTTTTCATCTGAGCTAGTTATTTACTACTTGGGGAGTACCAGTCTACAAAATTTGATGTGTCAAGAAAAAAAAATTATTAAATTATATTGAGAGGGAAAAAAATCATCCTTAGGCTAGCTTTGCCCAGATTTGTTTGAACCTAGCTTGACCTTTAATCTTAATGACCTCAAAATCAATAAGAATCATCTACTATTTAATGGAAATATTTTCCTATTTTCAAAATAATTAATACTTCTTGATCTTTGACATTGTGACTTCAAAACTCGGATTTTAGGCCATCTACTCCATAAGATGTGTATCAGGTGTACATTAATAAATTTGGTTGATTTCTGTTTGATACTGACAGACCAATATGTGCAGAACCAATATCTTTAATTTTTTAAAAGAGGGAGGGTGAAAATTTGATGCTCAAACTGCCTTTTGTACGAAGAAGTTATCTAGAATAAAATATGATAAAAACTTAACACATAAAAAATATAATATCACCATTTTACTACATCACATAGTTTATAAACATAATACCAGGTACATTAAATAATTGAAAATTACATACACACACAGTTAACCAATTAATAATTGTTCACAATATACAGCTGATTTCTTCATTCTACAAAAGTTACATAAAAGAGGGATTCTTCTTATATTTATCATAAAAAATAATAAAAAATAATTAAATTTTGATAAGTTGAAGAACACAATATAATCCAGTACATTAATGTACTGGTATTAAATTTGACCTAGCTATTTTTCATCTATTTTCTTTAATTTTTATGCAGTATTTTTTTTTTATATGCTTCCTATATATATTCAAATTTGTCTTATTTTCACATATGATGAAGATACAACATGATATAAGCATCAAAAATATTGAAATCACTCTTTACCAATTTTTTTTTTCAGAAGCTAGCAAAATTATAATTAGGTACTCAAACTGCCTTTTGAACAAATAAGTTTTCTAAGGAAAAATGAGATAAACTTGTCATAAAAAATATAATCTCATGTTACTACATCACATAGTTTACAAACATTTATACATAAAACAACTGATAATTACATATCCTACAGTTAACTTAAATTAATAATTATTCACAATATACAGCCAATTTCTTCATTCTACAAAATTTACATTTAAGACAGATTCTTAATTCTTATAGCTATCATAATTATTGAAAATTAATGAACTTTTGATAAGATGAACACAATATTAACAAAGTACACGTATCACTTTTAGATTTAATTTGACCATTTCATTTATTTTTATTCTATTTTTAAGGTATATATTATTTTATTTTCATATGCTTCCTATATTTAAATTCTTCTTATTTTCAGATATGGTGAAGATACAAAATGATACAAATTAACATTAAATCTGTTCTAATACATGTACTACTAGATTGCAAGCTTTCAGAGGGTAGCAAGATTATACTTTGTTTGGGAAATCTTTTTTATTTGATATACATGCATGTATTTTAAAACTCCAGTTCATTATGGTAATTTCTTTTAATCTTAATTTTATTGTTTCAAAATATTAGATAATTTTTTTGTTCTTTAGTTATTTAAAGAAGCAGAAAGGGATATTTTTATAAGCTACAGTTTATCAAACTCAGTTTATTTATTTCTATTCAAAGTTGTACAAAAATATTTTGAATAATTCAATAGTCAATAGACAGAAACCAGACAAGAATCCCTCCTCAAAAAGAACTCAAGATCCTAATGATCTTTGCACAGAAATTATATAAATATTCATATTACAATCATAAAAAAATTACACATACTAAATATCATAAAAAATATACAAAAATAGATGCTAGCCCTTTTAAAC